ATTAGGACCTTGATACAAGTTTGTTTATTAGGACCTTGATACAAGTTTGTTTATTAGGACCTTGATGCAAGTTTGTATTAGGACCTTGATACATATGTGTTTACTAATTTCTTAAGTTAAGCTCATCAACGAGGTAGATTTTTTCATTTTAACTTTTTATACTTCCTTGTATCTGTCAATTACTTATTTATGTTTATTTTTAGTTCACTTGCATTACAGATAAATATTAAGATACATTATGAAGATTAAAAGGTTTTATAATCATTGTCTCAATTTTACTAGTTTCAGTACGAATGGATTTTAAGGAGAACTTTGATTTTAAAATGTATTTTTCTCAAATTGCTGTTTCCTTTTTATAAGTATATGTGTTTTCTTAGTTTCATCTATTCTGAAGACATATTTATAAATGAATCTAATTAATATGTCAGTGTTTAGTTCTTTTTTTTATTGTTATGTTGTAACATTTACTTTCACATAATCTTTATTACCTAAATTGCTACTATTAAGCTGTCTCATTACATAATCATATCATTTTAATTTAATTGTGATTTTTTAGTGGATTTCTTTATAACAGTAATAGTGAGCATACTTTTTGTAGCAGTATTAGAAACATATCAAATTTTAGGAAATGAAACTCAAAGAATGTATAGTGCTTATGTGTTATGAAATTTGAGACTAACTGTATGATAAATTTTTTATGGCCTGTACTTGTTTAACAGTGCACATTAGATGGTAATTTGAATCAGGACATTACTCCATTTCTTGTTATTGAACAAGAGTAACACATGATTAATAGGAATTAACGTGTTTACATTCCAGCATTAAGTCTAGAAGATACTGGACAAGAAAACATGACGCTGCTTTGGCAGAATGGTGTCATATCTAATTATGATTATCTCTTGTATCTCAATAGGTAATATTCCCTGTTTTTTTGTTACAGTAAAACAAAGTGAAGATTGTGATGTTAAAACAAGCATTTAAAAGCTGCTACTCATTTTAGGAAAATTTAAAACATTCACTGAGCTATGGTGGGATAAAATAAAGAAGTGAAACAGAAAACAGTACAATTTATGTTTGCCAACAATTGTTGAGATTGTGAGTGAAGTTCCCTTTTTTTTTGTCAGAGTACAACAAACATATCCAGATTTTTGGCAATATTAAATCAAGCATGTATTAATATTAGAATTACCAATGGAGTGTCTTTAATTCCATTGACTTTTTAAAATACTATAAACGATTTATTCACCAAATTGATTGTGGGTCCATGAATTTAATGTTTACAGGATATTTAGTAACATGTGAGTTACATAAAAAATATTTAAGAAAAGTACTATCAATATTGCAATTAATCCCACTATTTAATGCTGGGGTTTCCTACATATTTTACAGAGAATCTGAAAGGTTTCTCCTAATTTGGTTGGTCAGGTCTTTACACTGGCTTATCTAACTGGCAGTAAAATAAAATTACTCAGTATTATACAATATGTGGATCCCAGCTGTAGTGAATGGGATATATACAAGTCAGGAATTGAAACCATACTGTTTGTAGTATTGATTAGAATTAAAATTAGTTTTATAACAAATATGATATATTAAATTTAGAAAACTGTAAATTATTTTCAGCATATTAAGAAAGTCATAATCTACAAGTAATACTTTAAGTTTTTTATCATAAAATTTGTACCACGTAATATTATTTAATTCATCTTAGTCAGAGTTATGACATTCTAGGCATAATAGATATTTTATGGAAATATTCATTACTTTTTAGGAAAATGCACTGATGAAAGAGAATTGGTTGTATGCTGAAAAATTATTTGAATCAATTTAATATTTTTTATTCTTATTACCAATAACTTTAGATGAATAATCAATAAAAACCATTTTAAATGCCATTTACATTCTTCAAATTGGTTTAACCCTTTTACTACAACTGGGTGGATTGCACCCAGCCTGTATCCTACAAAGTAACCATAAAGCAGTTACACTGTAACTTTTTAAAATTATGTGTATCTTCAAGAAATTTTGCAGCTTATCAGTAAACATTTTCATATATAAAATATCATTTTTTTTAAAAATAAGTTTTAAGATTTTTTAATTAATGATTTACTCATGCATTTTTCTTTTTGAATGTTAACTATCCAGCATGCCAAGTAATTTTGATTGTAAGATTAAAAATACTTTTATGTGATGAGATTAGCTAAATTTCTAATGGCTCTTATCGCATAGTTGGATAGCCAGAAAACATATGATAATTATAAGACAGTGTCTGCTTTTTACATGTTTTTATTCTGTGTTCTTAGATGCAGTATTTAATTGAATAAAAAAATATTTGGTGCAGTAGTACCATTTGTATGAAAAAGTAGGGTTAAGTTTCATTGACAGTTGACAGGAAAAATAAAAGACCCAGTGAATTACTATATTTCTTGTTTTTCTTTCTTTATTATTATAAAAGTAACTAAAATATAAAAATTATAAACTTTTTAAGTTAGGTAAGGTTAGATTAGGTAAAATGAAAAAAAATTTTTTTACATGAGGTATGCTCACAAGGCCTGTGCCTTATGTAGTTCGATGCTGTATTGTGAACTACACTTTCATCAAGTGGTAGGATAGTTAGTTAGATATGGTTCAAAGGGTAATAAAACAATAAAATTTAAGTAGAAACATAGGTATATTGTTATGAGTTTTAAGCTAATTAGGATAAACAAATGTAGTTTCATGTTACAATTTGAAGTCATTCTAGTAAGAAAAATGGCAATTTAGAATTATTTTATATTTTTATGGTGGTTATGAGGACAGTCAAATTGAATTAGGGTACAAAAAATAACAAATAAAATATAACGTTTTATTGTAAAAAAATATTTGATTTATTTATGAGGTTTTAGAGATTATGCAAATGAAATTTGACAATTTTCAGAGGAAGAAAAGTATTTTTAACCTTAACATCAAAATCACTTTGCACTAGGAGCAGTCAACACTTTGACTCCATATATTCATGGAATAATTTTTAGTGAAAATATTTTATTAGGAATTCTGATTTTTTTTTGTTTACAAAAGACTTAATGCTTACTGAAAGCTTGCAGAATTTTGTGAAGATACAAAAACATATTAAAAGTTATAGTATGGAAACTAAAAGGTCAATTTGGGGTCACAAACTCGGCTGAATCAACTGAGCCCATAGCAAGAGTGTTTAGTTTGTATTATGCATTTGGGTTGTCAAACATCATCTTCAAAAAAGTAGGAAAGATATAGCACACAACCTACTAGTTGAGTTTAAAAGAATTTTCAAACAGATATTCAAACAAGTTAGCTATTTTAAGTAATGCAATGAAATGTATTTTTTATTTCTGTAAATGACAAAATCTGTCCAGTCTGTGCTACACGTATGATTTTTAAACTATTTGGAATAGTATGAAGGGAAAAGATGGACATTAGAAAAAACTGCAGTGTTTTGTTGTATAATATTTTTCTTCTATCTTATGTATTTGGTTTACAGTTTAGCAGACCGAAGTTTTAATGACTTGACTCAGTATCCAGTCTTCCCATGGGTGATAGCTGACTATACCAGCACACAGCTAGGTAATACATAAATAAGGTAGAATACTTTGTTATAAACTGATAAAAACATAATAAACTCATAGTAGAATAACATGATGATGATTCATCAACATAGACTACAGATATTTTCCAACACAAAATTTTAAAAGACTAAAGTTTACAGCAAATAATGTTGTTTTACTTGCTTATTAGTGTGATTTAATGATACAGTTGTGAGATGATATATAAGTAGTATTTCATCATGACTTTTATACTTTGTTGAATACTCTTAAAATTTAGTTACGTGTCTCAGCTTATTATGAATGCATTTAGTAATGTTCATGTTCTTATTTTCGTAGCAAATAATTTCACTATGTTTTTACATTCACTTCTAGAACATGGTTATATAATTATTTGTAGTTGAACTTCAAGAAACTTCAATATTATTTCTTGTTACTCAGCATACTAAAAGAGTATAAGTTAAATAACTGACAATGGTGATCATAGAAACACTTCAATAGAAAGGTTAGTGCTGGTTACATTAGGTCAACGTTTAGTCAATAGTTTCCTGGAACTTAAAGATAATGATTTGGCTAATGCCTTTATTGTCATATATACAATCTTTCTACACTTTAGTAGATTAAGTAAGACAGTGAGAGGCATTGTCACTAACCCATTACCACTACCTTTTTTATTTTTTGGATTGTATACTACAAGATATTATCATTGTAACTTTTGTTTCCAATTATTGTAATAAATTACAGTTTATGAAATTATCAGGTGCTGAAGGATCCAATATAAGTTAAGTAGCCTGAAGCCATCAAATACAGCGCTTATCCACCAACTGCACTGACTTCATGATTGTTCTGCAACTTTCTATGAAAGAGCTGAAACACAACATGAAGTACATTTATAGCAACACTAGCAAATATACGTTTGTAATTTTCATGCATAAAAGCATGAAGTAATATCTGTCAATATCTAATGAAAATTTTGAAAATCTGTTTATCTTTATAGGTTTAGTTATTTCCTATATCTATATATATATATATATATATATATATATGTGTGTGTGTGTGTTGTTTCTATTACTCTATATCTAGTAGGGTAAAGTAGTACTTACTATAGTAACTATACGTACTACGTAAACGTTAACGTTTTAGGTTAGTTAGTAAATTAAATTAAACTTAATTAACGTAACCTTAA